TCCCGCCCGCGCCTCCAGCGGCAGCGCAATACGAGAATCAGGCTCCGCCCCCTCGGCGCGAGCCCTGCCCGCTGGCGTGTGACGCCCCGCCGAGCCTCCCCCGCCCCTTACGAGGCTGCCCGCCGATGGATTGATCGGCCAGTCGATCAGTTCGCGGCACGCGCGACCAGCTTGGCCCACTCCCTCCCCTCTCTCTCCCTTTCCCGAATGTCGACTCACCTCGGCCCTCCACTCACCGTAGCATTTTAGACCCCACCCACCCAGGCCTGCCAATCGCAAGAGGCGCGTGGCGATCCTTCCCGCCTCCCTCTCACCTTCAGACCAATAGAGGCTTGCTGCTGAAACATCCTCCCACCTTCCCCGAGAAGGCCTGGACAATTCCCAGACACGTCCCGGATGGCCCTCCCCCATGCCACTTCTCAGGCGCGCGGGCGCGCTACCTTAAGGCTCCTCCCCGGGCTCGAGAGGCGGCTCGGCGCAAGCGCAATCCGCCGGAGCGGGAAGTTTGCCTGCGCTCGGTTGCCGTAGCTCTTCTTGGGGAAACCTCCGGTACGTCAAAAGCGGCGCGCAGTCGCTTCTTTTAGCGTCGAGCTTAATTATCTTTTGCCGGAGGGTGTTGCCGTTACAGCTGTCTTGGGCGGAGGGGTAAAAAGGACCCGATGATTGGCCCCCTCCTTTATACTTGCCTGACAGCGCCATTCCACATCTCCTCAGTAAGTCCCATTGCGCTCAAGGAGTCTTATCCTCACGTAAGTAGATAAGACATTTTATTCTATTTGCCCAGCTAGATAGCAAGCTTAGGCTGATCATAAGGTGGTAATCAGAATCAGATCTGGTTAGAGCTTGGATGGGAGACCACTAGGAAATCGGGGGGGGGGTAACAGATTGAAAAGTCAAAAATAGTTATGCAAAAAGACAACTAGTAACCACTTCTATAGTGTCAGCAAGATGGTGCCTCCATCCATCTCAACACGGAGACCACTTTTCCTTTTTTAACAGTAATTCTCTCTGCTTCCTTTCCATACACCTCCCCTAAATTGGTGCCTTTTAGCTGTTCTGGATATGATGATTTATTTTTTATACCACTTCATAGACAAATGAGGACATCTACAATATCTGTAGGGTTGCTAAGTGCTGATGCCGACTTAATGGCACGTAATCAGTCCTATACAAAAGCAGCTTGAAGTGACATTCATCATTTCCAGCTGGAAAGCCAAACATCCTGCTGGATAGAAAATATGGGAGATGTAGTCCAGATCTGATCAAGAAGCACCAAGGTGGAAATGTCATGCTGAGAAAAATAATAATATAGGGAGTTGACTGCTCAAGTCCTTGAGTAGCAGGGTGATGAAGGAAGATTAATGTTCAATTCAGTTAGAATTATTCACATCTTTGGGTAAGGCAATTATTGAGAAACAGATTTAAGCATATTTTGGGAACATGTGTTTTGCTGAGTTCCAATGAAAACCTTGTAATATATTTAAAAAAGCATGAGATGCATATATGAAGTTCATGGTTATTATAAAGGATAGTCATTCAGCCATATACCTTTTAGAACAAAGGCATACCTGTAAAGTATGTGCAATTTTGATACATTAAAAAAAATCTCCAGGATGGGAAGTTGTTCCTCTAGGAGCACTTTCTTGTTCATGAGATGGTTGCAGCACTTAGAAACATTTCAGCAAATAGTGTTTTCTATTAAGTATTAAAAGTCCAAGGATGGAACTGATAGCAGTTGCTGTAGTTTTTCTTATTATAACTTATTTTTCAATCCCTTTTCCACCCCATTGGGAGATGGTAATCAATTTTTTCCCCTTGTAGTGTGTGTGTGTTTATGTGTACAGTTAATCCCCAATGTTGGGAATGTTGTTGTTGTGAAGATTTGTATTTTTTTTTAATCTTACTAATTGTTGTAGGTCTATAAGCGACTCAGAGTCAGCTATGATTGGAATGACATGTAAAGCTAGTTAATAAATAAAACAGTGATCAGCTTTTTGTTTTACTTTCCAGTACAAGTTTCAAATATTAGTAATTATGTTAACTGCATTTAAAAATCAATAAATAACCCATTTCACGTACTGAATTGGTTGGGTGTATGCATAGCATCCTTACTTGAACATGGCTGGTAGTGAGTCTTATTTGTCCTGAGAGAATGGTAGCTATTGTTATTTTATTCCGAGTATCATTTAAGAACAGTCAACAATGAACTAGGCAGGTTTTAGATCTTGGTAACCTACTTTTCCATGTGTGATATGTAAAATTATTTATCCACATCATCTATGATGTACTGAGGCACAATCAAGTCATAAGCTCTATGGATCGTGGAGAACAGCTCAAATGAAGCTACAGTTTCAATTAATGTATGTAACAATGACTTTCTTAAAATAATATAATGTTTATCCTGTAAGTGATGTAACTGATTGCAGTACAATATTCCTGTTAGAGCGATGATTTCTGAACATATAAGTTAAAGGATGGGTAAGAATATCCCTCCTGATTTTATAGATACTTTTAAAACAATCTTTTATTTATGGGAAATGACCCAAGCAATTTACTCAAGAAGCTTTAATATTTTAATAGAATTGGAGTTCTGGTGAGGACATGGCGAGCTAGACATCCCTGAAGGAGGGGGATGGCATAATGGCTGAAATTGCCAACCAGAGGACAGATCCTGGCTGGTGAAATCTCTCTGGAGAAAGGAGAGATCGTGGGATTGCCCACATGTACCCCAGACAGCTTTTCCTCTCGAGTAGACTGCAAGAACCAAGGTTTTTGTGGTCAGCTAGCAAGTGAAGTGAAAATGCTGGCGGCACCTTGCAAAAGGCGTTGGGAGCAGTTGCCAGTAGCGCGGAAGCTGCGCTTGCCCGAAAAAGGCATGAAGCAACGGAAACCCCACCTCCTGCGCTCGCCAGCTGGGCTCTGCTCTAG